GGGGCTTGTCTCCTGCAGAACGCAGGTACAGATGTTACCGGGGTCCGGCTCTCGTGCTGGCCGCCTCTTACAGGTGCCGTTCGGGGCTGATCCAACAATACGTACTCCGTAGTTTAATTCTTGTGATATTACAGAGCGCTTCGTGTCTGGGGAAGTTTTGGTTGGTGTAAATCTTGCTGGGAGCACGCTTATTCAGACTTTCAGGGAAGAGCGCGAACGCGTATACAGAACCTTGCTAACGATAAAATCTTTTGCTTCTCCATTCATCCTTTTGTTCCTTTTTGGATTGATGTGTTCAAACCCGAAAACCAGTGGCTTGTTTTAATATTGTGACAGGTGGGATGAAGAGCCCTGAGTAAAGATCAGGACTATATGCCCATTACCATAGTGGTCTGTGGCATCTTGACTACAGTAACTATCTAACTGGCTTTGTTCTCTTCTTCTTACTGTGAGTTCTGAAATAGAAAATGTACAAAAATATTACAGTTGTAGTTAAGTTGCATACCAAATGTTGAACGTGTTGATGCTGAATGTGTAATTTATGTCTTACAGGGAATATCTTGACAACATAACAGCAATTGGGCCCAGAACAGTTGGAAGTCCAGAAAATGAAGTTCTTGCAGTTAACTACCTCTTAAAACAAATCAGGGCAATAGAAAGAGAGAGCACAGATGCTCACAAGATATCTGTAGACATACAGAGGCCCACAGGTTCCTTCAGCATTGACTTTTTAGGAGGCTTTACTAGTTACTATGCAAACATAACCAATGTTGTAGTGAAGTTGGAACCCCGAAACGGAGCTGAGCATGCAGTGTTATCCAATTGCCACTTTGATTCCGTACCAAATACCCCGGGTAGGTCCACATGTTCATTCTGCTTTTCTGTATGTTACATGAGCCACACAGCTTGGCTTATCGCCTTCTCACATACCAACTACAGCCACATGCTAGAATACTGCATGTGTCAACTAGTCTGCCTTCTTTCAGTGTGATTCAGTACTTAGAGTGACAGGTTGGTCCTATTAAAGTCAGGATTTTACTCTCGCTTTCTGGTAGGCAGCAAATTACAGATACTATATTTAGTTTTCTAGAAAGCTTGGTTGTATCTGCCTTTCTTGTAAGTCACTGCTTATGCATGTAGTTCATGTGCTGCTTCCACCTGTCATTCAGGTCTTTCCATATTTCTGTACTGATTTAATCTTGGCTTTCCTTTCACAGGATTCTTTGTGCCAGAGACTGTGCCTACCCCTGCTAACCAGTGTGTGCTTTTCCTCCCTTTGCTGGTATCATACTTTATCTCAAGTTTTTAGTGTGCTATCCTTAAGCTGTGGCAACTTCTCTGTTATTTCTGCATTCAAAGCTTCTGTTTCAAAAGACTGTAGTGATCAAACATGAAGGTACTGTTCCCTTGGTAGCATGTACATCTCTCTCGCTGCCGCTTTCACTGTCGCTGTTGTGTACTCTTATTCCTGTCCCTCTGCATTTTTATAAATCTGATCACGTCAAGTAATTATTGCGGCAAGGGTGTAAGTGGCTTAGTAAATACATGGTTGTAGCAGTGCCAGGAAGGTAGGGAACTGAAAACCACACGAAAACCTGTGTTGTAAGTCAGCCACAGGTGTGTACCTGTTACTGCAGTTGAAAAACACCTGCTGATTTCAGTCACCAAGAGCAAAACTTTTCCTGAAGTTTCTTGATTTACACATACAGTCTTCATTATTGAGAAGAAGGTTATTAGCTAGCGAAACAAAGCAGTTGCTGACAGAAAAAAAGGCATGAAGAGTACAGCAGGTAGTGCATGGATCTCCTCTTTCTCCTCAGTTATATTTAGGCAAGATGGGTTTCCAAATTAAGCTTAATAACTGCATGATTATTATACATGATTTGTGATGTAAGGACTGCAGAGGTGATAATCACATATTTATAGTCTAAACCTGGCTGCGTAGACTTAGAAGCAATACTTTACAAATCTAATACGATTGCTGAAGACTGGCTTTAAATTGATGCCCTGTGTAAATTGTGTACCCGCTTCTATGGGTTGTAACACAGGACTATGTCTGCATCAATTACTTTCTTTACCGTTACTCGGACCGTAAAATACTTCACCAGCTGTGCACAGAGGTGCCAAAATATCTGTGGTTTGTATAGGATTGTACAGAAATCTGTGGAGGAGCTAGAAATCAGCCTGTATGTTTGCCCTTAATCACAAAGCAGCCTAGCCCTTTACCACAAAAAATAAGGAGCTTGCACATAACCAAGCAAGAACCTTTTGTTTTCTATTCTCCTGTATTTCTGTAATTTATTTGCTTACAGCTTTGTTTTCATTACCAAAAATGTGTCAGTGGCATTTAGTGATAAATGAGTAGCTTATTTGAAAATTGGATAATAAAACGTAATTTGCTGTTGATGCTTCTGCATACAAAATGGGTAAAGCGAAACTCGGTAAGCCATTAGAGCTTCAGCGTTAGAAAGCTTAAATTCTCTGTCAAGGAGAAGCATAAACTGTGAACTCCTAAAACATGTATCTTGTTCTAATAGTACTAATTTTCTGTTTATATGGCCTATTTGATTCTTTTCGAATAAACTTGAAGGCAGAAACATCCTTGAAACTACCATCTCAGCTGATAACGTTTTTCTTAGGTTACTGATACTTGCCATAAAGTCTGTTTTAACCTCCTGTAAGTTTTGCTGTGTATGAAGTATTTGAGGGTGGCACATTTCTCTGTGAGATGGTGTCATAGTGCATGGCTACATGGCTGCTTTAATCAGATGTAAATCTGTATGTCTGTTGAAACCAGTAACTTCTCTTTTTCTTAGCTTCACAGCAAGGTGGGTAAGTGATTAATCCTGCTGGAAACTGTAATCACTTCTCTGAGTTCTCAACACAGTGCAAGTTAGATAAAAGAACTCAGTGTGGTTAGGAGTATACTGCTGATAAATGTGGGTGGCAATATAATCAGGGCTTGAAGTCAGATATTAGGGGGTGTGGTGCGTTTTGGAAAGCTTTTGGCAGAACAAAGCATTACTTTCTGAGAAATCAATTAGAGAAAAGTGTATTGGAAGGATTTGGGGTTTATTTATGTATTCTAAAGTACTTCCATACAACAAGCTGAGGCTAAAATTAGACTGAGATTTGTGTATCAGGAGTATGCCCTTTCCACAGAGGGGAAGATATGTCTAAATTTTGCCAACTTACAAGCTTTGGAAAAAGCTGCCTTTTTATGTAAAAATTAAACAGTTTTAGCAGCTAATGAGTCTGCCCTAATAGCATGCTGAGGCCTGACCATGCTGTTGTTCTCTTAGTGCACGTTGGCATCACATGTGCAACCCAGTCTAATGGAATGAATTTCTCTGTTTGTTCCAGTTTGTTTTGTTGTTTGTTTTTTGACAGTCATGTAGGGAGATGCTACAGCTTGTCCTGAAGTGAGGACAATGGGGCAATGGGAGACCTTGACTCAAAGCTGGATACTTATCCAAGATTCAAAAATGGCACTGCACAGGAGGAGGTGTGAGGAAGTGAGAGTCAGTCTAGAGTAATGTTGGATGAGGAACACAAAAGACTGAAATTGGAGCAAAAGGGGTTTTCTGCAAAGAAAGAAGGGTGGTGAAAAGGATCAGATCACAAAAATACTGTATTACAATGTATACCTTCATTTTAAACATGTTTTAAAGGTGTGAATTCTGGTGTTTTCTTTGCTTTATTTTGCAGTCTTGGCCTCATTTTACTTTAAGGTTGTCCACTTACCTGAATGCATTCTAAGAGTGTAGGTGACTTGTGAGGGAATGTTTGGTTTTTTTTTTTAATTCGAGATGCTGTAAGTGAAGATTGTGTCCTTGTTTATTCATACTGTTCTTAGAAAAACAGATAATGATCACTTTCCTTGTTTAGTGACCTAGTTAGTCTACTTTTCTTGAACAGTAGTATTGGATCTGATCTCTGGTACTTCACTTGCTCAACTTTTGAATGTTATTTTTCTTTCTGCTTTTGCTTTTAACTAGTATAGACGCAGGGTACACAGAGTATCAGAAAATACAATAAAGCTTGACAGAACTGTACCTCACAGTGATTAAGTGACTGAGATAGCATAAAGCATTTTTCTTCTCTGGTCTGTTTTTGCAATTCTGTGTGTTTGTTGTAAGCCATACTGCTCTGCTGATTATTTTCAGGTGCCAGTGACGATGCTGTTAGCTGCGCAGTGATGCTTGAAATACTTAACACACTTTCAAAATCATCAGAGCCCTTGCAACATGCTGTCATATTCTTATTTAATGGTGCAGAAGAGAATATTTTGCAGGTGAGAATATGCTGGAATTATAAAATACAAATCAAAGCTGTATATTAAGACTCTGACAAAGGAAAGAGTAACTACAGATATGGCTTGTATTTAATCCATTGAAATATTAGTTAAATGCCAGTCTTAACATTCTGAGGAAAATACATTTGATTTCAAAGGGAAAATACACTTAGCTTAAGAATGTTTTCCATATTAATTTAATTAGACTTGGATTTTCTACATCTGTTTGTGTTGAAAGTGATCTGTCTTGTCCAATCTTGCATTATGATCATATGCGATGGAAAATAACATTTAGGCTGGTCTGGAAGATACTTGACCTATATATACTTTTTTTTTTTTTTGTTTCCCATCAAGGCTAGTCACGGCTTCATTACACAACATGAGTGGGCCAAGTCAATTAGAGCTTTTATTAACCTGGAGGCAGCAGGTGTGGGAGGAAAAGAACTTGTTTTTCAAACAGGTATGAGCTTGCATTGTGTCTAGTTTCTACACTAGGATAATTTGATAATAAACAATGTAAACTTGAAGGAGTATTGAAAGTGACTCATAAGCAAAAGGCAGGAGAACCTCTCTACTTCTTTCCCTGCACAGCAAATAAGTTGCTCTCCATCTTAGATACATCTATGCTAAAGCACTGCCACAGAAGTTGCCTCATAGGTGGGCAGCCTGTGTAGAACAGAATTGCAGAAGCTGTGCTTCCCTTTTACATCAAGGTAAAAAGAAGAAAACCAGATCTGGATATCTCTTGTATCTTGCATACTCATACTTTCATGTGCTTTATTTAGCTTTCACAGCAGTTCTTTCACAATCTTTGCAGGGAGGTGTTGGCATTAGAACTCCATCTGCTGCTCAGGAAGCAGCAAAGCTTCTGTGCTTTGTAGGCTGCAGTTAAACTTCTGCTCCATCCTAGTTGGACTGCAGACTTCCTGCTGCTGCTGCTTCATTATGTGCTTGCATTGAATGCTTTAGTGGAGAGACTTCTCTAAACAATGATTTTGAGGTGTGATACCTAAATGATAAATTGGAAGTTCTGCTAAAGGTCATGACTTCTTCATTAATGCTGGGTCTTTTTTGGAACATGGCTTACCTGCTCTGCCACTGGACACTCAAGGCATCTGGGCTTTTCTTGTTTTTCCCCCAAGTGTACATAATTCTTCCAGCCAACAGAAATCCACTTGGCATGTTCCCTGTGGGGCAACAACATTGAAGTCTAGTGAGTTCCGTTGCATTACTTTTTTGTTACCATAAAGATACATGTCTTAACTGAAGTTCAGAAAGTAGTTGTGACCTTTCTGCCCATCTTTTGTTAGGACCTGAGAATCCTTGGTTGGTACAAGCGTACGTAGTTGCAGCCAAACATCCCTTTGCTTCTGTGGTGGCACAGGAAATATTTCAGAGTGGCATTATCCCAGCAGATACAGACTTCCGTATCTACAGGGATTTTGGCAATGTTCCAGGTATGTTATCAGAAGACACATCAGTGCACATTGTACAACCATTTGTCTGAAGTTTGTAACAAGAATACCGTTCTGTGGTTCTGTTCTTCTATGTGAATGTCCTCAAATTTGGTTTGTCTTTCAGTTCCCAAGCAAATTTTCCTGCTTTTCCCTAAGGCAAGAACCTTTTAGATTCGGTTTATTTGTAGGTTGTTAAGGATGTTTTTGGAGACTGCTCTTTTCCAGAAAGAAACTACATGATAGGAAAGTTTCCTGAGAATAAGGGAAACACTCCAGGAATTGACAGTACACTATTAAATATTCTGTTTTGAAACATTTTAGTAATGATGCTAATAACCTGCTTGCAGGAATTAAATGTCTGTACCTAATGCAAAAAACCAAAATCATCTCTTCTAAAGACAGTGACTTAGTATTAAGTAGACATTTTCATTACTTCTTTTGTTTTTCATAATCAAGCACAGGACAGCAATTTTTGGTTTTGCTACCCATTCTGCAGAGAATGACCAGTGGGAAAAAATGTGGAGCAGACAATGCAAACACAGTTCCAAGGAATGTTAGCTTCTGTAAAATCCTAGCTGTCTGGCACAGATTATCATTGGAATTACTTTCAAGAAAAGTGATATTTCTGAATTGATTCTTAGAACAAAACATGCTGGCGTACTCTGAACTGTTCCAAAGTACACTTCTAGCCTGAAAATAAAGTAGCTGATTTTGTACAATGTGTTCTTTATTTGTTCAGAATCGTACCTGGATCATAAACGGTAAATGGATTCTCACTGACCTCTCTTTTTTCGAAACAAATAGAAATGAAATAATTGAGTTACAGAAATACTTTGTTCCTCTTTGTCCACTTATAGAATATTTGTTAAACCTCTGCAAAATTGTGAGGATTCAGACTGCAGGCAGCAGCTTTTTGCATATGCAGCTGTGGGAATGTGTATTTGGGATACACTGAAAGTATAACTAATCTTTCAGAAAACATACTCTCTTTTTTTGGTAAATATTTTTTGTTTATTTTTAGGAAGTATTTGGACTTTTAAATGAAGAGTTTTCAGACTTGCTATTTGAATAGCTGTTTACAAATTAAAAGAACACACCTGATATTTTGACAAGGTGTTGCTGTAGTTCCACAGCACTGCTTTTTATTACTTTTCAGCTTGGATCTCTACTGATGTTTTACTAGTAAATGCTTGGAAAGCACCTTATACGTCTTTTCTGGAGCTGAGATGATTAAAAATTTTCATGTGTTTCTCCAGCAGAGATCAGTTTGTGTACAGATGTCATGCGAATAAATATGTTAGAAAGGACAGATAACTTAAACTGTTTTAAAAGTTTTGTAAGTTTTTAAATACACAGGAAATCCTGGTTAGTCTTCCTTCTACAAAGCAAACTGTTTTGTGAATTTTTAAGGATAGTGAGTGGGCTACAAATGAGAGCAATGTTTTGTGTGAAATATATTTGAGGTTTTCACGTATTTGTTTTGGAGTTTTATGTAACTTCAAACATAAATTTTCTCTCTCCATAGGAATAGATTTGGCTTTTATTGAGAACGGCTACATTTATCATACAAAATATGACACATCAGACAGAATTTTAACAGATTCCATTCAGAGAGCAGGTTAGTATTACAAGAATTTGGTAATTTACTGAAGAGTAGTGTGGTACCAGCTTTTTAATGTTGCTGTAAGACTAATACTGCAAGACATTCATAATTTTAATTACACATTTATAACATGCTAGACATGTTATAAAGAAAAAAGTTAACTGAATGCATTTCTCCAAAATATAAAGGAAGTGTGTTTAGTCAACTTGGAAACATAAACGTTACCAGCATCGAGTGATGTTGATCTGAAAGTAACTGTGGAATCTAATTAAGCTTATAATCTAGCCATTGATACCTGATTGTTCACCTTTCTGCGTTCCTTTTCTCTCAGTAAGTCTACTTACTGACTAATGTTCATCGTGAGAAGCTTATGGTTAAGTTGGTGGCATAGAGACTGATCTGCCAACAAGAGGTTTTTGTTTTACAGTGGATCTCAGTCAAACTTATTTGGTAGCACAATCCTGTGGATGAACAGGATTTATTTTCTACTAACAGGTGGTTCTCATAGCAGGCTAGCTGACAGATCGCACTGAAGAAAATTACAGTAAGACCTTTAGTTGCCCAGGAAAAACTAACATAATCCTAAATGCCTCCAGGATTTTGGCCATTTACCCCTTTAAGCCTATACAGAAGCCGACTTAGATGACCAGCATGAATAAGTTTTAAACACTTTCTTACACCAATGCAGTTTCAAGTCAGAAAGTCGCACTTCTAATTTCCTTTTGGAAAGATTATTTTATTGGTCATGGTGGTTATGTAGAACATCTTGCTAAATGTCATCACAGCTGAAAAAAAAGGGCAAACTTTTCAGCCAGTAAGCACTTTTACATGTCAAGTGAAAGTAAAATCAAAGTTGAGAACAATTGTTCTCATTCAATTACGTGTGTTTTGGCTGTACTGTGGGAAAGCAGAAGTTGGTTGGTACCCGTAGGATAAAAAGGAAAATAGTCTCCTTGTCTCCTACCTTACAGTCATCTAGGGAAACAAAGGCAAGTAGTTCAATCATTGAAACATGAAGGAGTTACTGGTGGCAAGGAGAAGAGGAGGAAGATGAGGAAATTATGAACACTTCTGTGGGTTATCCTTGAAGTCCAGTACTTTAATATCATAGAATCATAGAATGGTTTGGGTTGGAAAGGACCTTAAAGATCATCTAGTTCCAACCCCTCTGCCATGGGCAGGGACACCTTCCACTAGACCAGGTTGCTCAAAGCCTCATCCAGCCTGGCCTTGAAGACATCCAGGGATGGGGCATCCACAGCTTCTCTGGGCAACCTGTTCCAGTGCCTCACCACCCTCTCTGTGAAGAATTTCTTCCTGATGGCTAATCTAAACCTCCCTGATTTCAATTTATACCCATTACCCCTTGTCCTATCACTACAGGCTCTTGTAAAAAGTCCTCTCCCAGCACCCTTGTAGGCCCCCTTCAGATACGGGAAAGCTGAAGGAGAGCTTAAGGTCTGAAAGCTTGACTACTCCCTTCATTGCAACAGTGTTTAACTACATTAGGCATATATTCTTATTTTATTAAGCAAATATACTTGTTTTAGTGTCAGCTGTATAGATTAACTCATGAAAATACGATGCTGTGTGTAACACTGAACACCTATTTCGGAATGAATTGTGTATTCATGTCTTTGTTGAGAATAATTCAATATGGTTACATTTTTAAGAGTACTTATATTTAAAAGAATGCTGTGTACTAATTCATTAACCCTGATGTACTTATGTTGTGTATCTGCTTTTTTAATAGGTGACAATATTCTAGCTGTCCTAAAATATCTAGCAACATCAGATAAGTTGGCTAAGTCTTTTGAGTATCGACATGGAAATGTGGTGTTCTTTGATGTACTTGGCTTATTTGTTCTGGCTTATCCTGCTCGTGTTGGCACCATCTTGAACTGTATTACAGCAGCAATTGCTTTTCTTTACTTAAGCAAGAAAGTACTTCAGCCCAAAACAAGAGGTAAGACTAGTTTTTAAAAATCAATCACTCTTTAACAAGTAGGAATTAGTAGATTAGGAAGTTTTCAGGCAATTAAGGCATCTTTTTAGATAAACTTCTGTGCTGATACTTAGTTACTGGCTGAAATTAGACCAAAACAACTTCAGAAATAAATTTTAGGTGTGCACCCTGCACTGGGAATTGCTTTGTGTTTAAATCTCTCAAATATAAACAATTATGATGAAGAAAGACTATGACAAGCCTAGATCTTGAGCATTCATGAATCATGATTATCATAGAATCATAGAATGG